TGTTTTTTTTTTTAATACCTTCCCGGTAAAATCGAAGGACTGGACGACTTCTCTGTTCGGGCAATTCAAAAGTTTGGGGATAAATCCCATTCGCCCGGCCTAGTGAAAGTCAGTACAATTTACTGCGCTGAAAAAAATCACAACTCCTTGAAAACTAATTGAAGATTAGCAAACGATTACCTCGCTTGCAGCCACCAAAATCTGGTAATTCAAAGCCCAGATGGGAAAAGTGTCCATCCTAAAATATAGATTAAAAAAGAGAGGAAAACTCTCCATAATCTCACCTGCCGTACTACAGTGTACTGACACATGAAAACCGCGGGTGTTTTTATTATGTCAAAGATTCCTGAAATTTCGTTGGAAAGTCAAATGGAAAGGTCCATTTCGGTTTCTTCCGACCAGAATATTCGGGATCACCTCTGGAGGTGATCCACTTATTTCGGTCGGACCGGTCCGACCGAATTTGCCGTTCCATTTTTGACAAACTGGTTCATTGCCCTACTTCTCTTCACTTATGTAGGGAATTCGGAAAAAGGAATAGACAATGGTAAGAGCCCGATTCCTCTTGGTTGGCCGGTTTGATCGGGAAAGGTCGTTCCATTTTCCTCGGGTATTCCCACTGGTCTCTGACCGGTCGATTTGGCATAATGGGCATCCTGCATGTAATAAAAACCATATTAGGACATTATGCCCGTCAGTATTGGAGTTTTTGGCGGGAACCTTTCGGGGCTCGCAAAAAGAGACTCGCGGCTCGCGGCTCGGGCTCGCAGCCTCGCAAAATAGCCTCCCCCTGTCAATTTTGGCATTGGAGTTAGCAAATGGCGGGCGTTTTAAAACACAAAATGGCGAGATGACGAAATGGCGAAATGGCGAAATGAAGAAATGGCGTAATGGCGAAATGGTATTAAAGATAAGAGCCAAAGTTATAAGATATTAGCGTTCCACTGAAATCTCCATCTGTTGCCGAATTTATTCTGTAGATTAATCCCGACAAATAAAAGAACCTCTACAATCACAAATTCGCCGTCACGGACCTTTGGATAATTTGGACTCCAGTCTCTCTCTGTCAACAGGGCGCGGTTTTAGACGCCTAGGATATTCTTGATTAAAATGGCGGCGTTTAGTTTTGACATCGGAAGAAAACGATTTGTTTGTCTCGTATTTACCATCGAGCAGCGGCTATGACGTTATGCTCTGGATCTAGAAAAGGTAATATTATAGGCTTTGCTTGTCTCAGTGCAAAAAATTGCAAAAGTTATTACTTAAAAAAAATTTATATGTATGCCTCTTATGATTGTTTTCTTTAATTTGTTGAGATTTATTTACCTGTACTTACAGTCCAAGTTGCTAACCATTTCATTTTTTAAAGG